GTAGTTAGAATATTTTGGTTTCACGTCATTCATGAAGACAAATCTAACGATTGATAAAACACGATACCTTCTGGAAAGATGACGTCCAACTTGAACAGGCCGCCTGCCCATATGGTCTTTTCTTTACCAGGAATACCACACTCCCAGTATTTCATGTCCTGCACGCCCGCCGCATTTCTACGTGGTTTCGCATAGAAGCCGTAAGGGTGGTTTTTTCGCCATTGCTTCCTGAAAGGAGCAGAGAGACACATTTGTTAGTAGGTGGGGAGTTATAAAACACCATATGAATATTGTATAAATAGCTGCATTTTGACTGACCGTTCCTCTGTTAGACGATTTATGCAAAGGGACATAGCTGCAAAATTTCTGGAATATCAAAAGTAAACTGGTGCCGCAGGGAATTTCGTACAAGCTGGTCAATTGAGGCCTAGACCAAGGACGAAGTAGAGATAAGGAGGGGCACAGTCAGTACAACGATGGTATGGAATTTGGGCTAAAATAATCGGATGGCTCAAACGGCTTGTGGAGGAGTTTTATGTATAGTACGTTAGAGGATCCGGACGGGTTATTAAAAGGAAAGTAGAAGAAGAGGATGAAGAGGAAGAAGAAGCAGAAACAGAAAAGGAAGAAGTGAGGGCTTAGCCGCAGCCAAATTGAACAAACTGTTTATGGGATCGACCCGTTGCGGCTACTAATGGCCAATATCATGTGACACTTCTGCATTCACCAAATTTCGCTACTTACTTAGTTTTACCTAGGTAAGTACAATATACGAAGACATTTAGGTTTGTAAATATTGTTAGGAACTTGGAAAAGGAACAGGGGGCAATGAAAGGAAGAAAGAGAAAAAGAAGAAAGAAAAAAAAAACAGTGAAGATTTTTGGAAATACCCCCGGCGGGACTCGAACCCGCAACCTTCAGATCTACTTTTGCCGACTTCGGGGAGTAGAAGTCTGACGCCCTACCATTGGGCTACGAGGGCTAATAATTTGATTCTGGAAAAGCAGAAAACGCTTTCAAGTGTTTTGAAGTGGTAAGTCCGTTTTGAGGTGGTAAGTCCCATCTTTCCGCTGAAATATACTACTAGCTACTACTATTCAATATGAATTTGAAGACTAAGATAGATTTAAAGGTTCAGTAGCTCAGGAGAACAGGACGGGTGAATATGACATCTTAGCTTGGTTTCCAATAACTAAATGTCCGCATCAGCGCCTTTGTCTACACGCCCTACTATATGTCGAACTCAGCCAACACATAGCATCCATACCCCAAACTGTAGCAACCCCCCGCCTTGGAACCTACTAGATCGCTTTACACACGATGGCCACCCGAAACCCACTCATCTTCTTTAACCGCCGTTGCGGCTTTCCCCACGTATACCAATATCAACACTCTGCCACTGCTTCAAAACAAGTTCCTGCTGCACAGTATCTCTCGTGCTCATATATCAAACGGGTCTCACAGCGGAATATGGGGTCGACTGCCAGAGCGAAGAACGAGTACATGGTCATTATACCAGATAAAGATGGCGCGTTGCAGAAGAGAATAGAAGTACGAGGGTGAGATTTAGGACATATTTTGCTCTGCTCCTATAATTTCAAGCTGTTTTCCTATATGTACCGCTGAGCGTGCGGATAAAGTCCGTACTAGTATGCTCTGGACAACAAAGATATTTTTACTTGTCCGTTACCACTGGGTACCCTGTCGATTTGCATAAAAGTCATTAGGAGCTTGCAATATGGTTATACTATTCTTTTTATGCGCATGCCCAGCTCTATCCTTTCGACATTTCCCTGTCAAGCATTCGTCCTTTTGTATTTGACCAATGGCTAATCAAATTTATGCAGCGCCCATCTCGCCAACCTCAAGCCGGTATTAGACTCCGGATTCCTTAAACTTGGAGGTAAAACCCCATTTTCATGCACTTATTCAAATGCAATTTTTGTCAAATTTTGTTAAATACCCCCCAAGAGCCCGAAACACAGAAAAACACAATAGTTAACCATTAGGCATGTAGGCGCTATGCTTGAGTCCCACCCAGAGGAAGGGGAAACGCCGCAAATGAAAGGTAGTATGTTACTCGTTGTTTCTGAGTCTCCTGAGGCTATACGTGAACAGCTTTCGAAGGATATCTATGCAACGTCGGGAGTGTGGGATATCGATAATGTAAGTTCACCAGTTTATTTTGCTGAGCTTGGTTTCTTTGTTTTGCGTTTCCTATTTCCATTCCAATGTCATACGCCTTTTGCCGTCGTTTGTTCTATTTTTGCAATCCCCACTCCGCTCTCTTCTCTACTAAAATTACATACGGGAATTAACTCGGGGTTAGATGCAAATAACGCCGGTATGTTGAAAGCCCCGGATGAGCTATCCAAGGGATATATTCCGTCCTAATTTATTCACCATAGTTTAAATCCGCTATAAGGCTTCCTCTGTAACTACCAGTTTTGGAAGCGATCTAAGACATCATGTCTAAGGAATAACTTTGGCAGAAATGGTACCAACAAGTGCAAGCAGAAAAATGTCTTGTAACCTGCTGGGTGAAATCCCTTCTATTCGTTAGCTATAGGCTTATATATCCCTGTGCAGGAAGGCATGCTTGTTTGATGATCTTGGAAGCTTCCAATAAGGGGTTGTTTTTTTTAATATTTTTTTTGCTTTGAATTATATTCCAACGGCTACGTAAAATACTACTTGGTTATATTTTCGTGTGTTCACCTTTACTTTTAAGCGCAACTATTACTGTGTTGGTGCGAAAACAGGTGCAAAAACACCATGAAAAGAAAAAGAAAATAAACCAAAATTATGAAAACGAACCTGATATTGCTAGATCTTGCATATCATCCATAACCCTGTCTTCTACCTCATTCTCATTGGTATATCCGAAAATGCCTTCTCCTCTCAGCCGCCTCCTCACTAGCGACATTACACTGGCGTTACAAGGGAAAATATTGTGCTTCCCCAAATACAGGCTCCCTAGGTTGCCAATTGCCTTTTGCATATATAGATTTCGATGGCAACTACGATCATCCGTCAACTTTGCCAACTAGACTCCAGTCGCTAGCGTTACTATATAATAGCTTATATGATCTTCAGAAACTAGAGAGTTTCTGTTTCTGGTTTATTTTATTTTGATTTGTTTGTTTTTTGAGCAGGAGAGAAATCTCCGCCGGCGAAAAAAAAACCGCCGCCCTGATGGCATTGTTCCCATTGCGCCAACTGAACGCAAAACATATAATTCGGCTTTTCTCCCTTTCCAAGTACGCCTTTATCTATGCCAAAGAGTAATTCAGGGCTGACCACCAATGGAGCCACCAGAATGGGTGTTCATGACGCAAACAACACCTTGTCCGAGAGCGCGGCTGTTTGAATTGTGAAGTTAAGCAGGGAAACAATGCGCAAAATGAGCTTCAAAGAACTTGTTAACATGCCACCATATATTTGAGCTTACCCGCAGATACCTAATGCCTTCAATGTAGCGGTAAAATGGAGACTGAACGTCTGTGTCATATTTGTCATCCGCCTTATATACACGAAAAACCATATGAAAGACAAATCACCATCAATTCCAGAAAGAAATCGGTAAGGAAAGAAGGAGCAGTAAGCAACAGAAGTGCCAAAATACCCCCTAGGGTATGGTCATAAAAATTGCAATCTAAGATAACGATAAATTCGAAAAAAAGAAAAAAAGAGGGTTAATAATCAAGATGTCTGCGGTGCGCAGGTAAACGATGCGGATATTAAAAAAACATAATATACATAATTCTGCCTATATCGCCGATATATTGAACGCATCGTAAATGGCCTTTTTTTTTTTTTTGTGATCCGGTTTACAGTTTCGGAGACGGGATATCTTTCTTCAGCAATGCTTCAGCCACCTTGCGGCGCTGGATTTTACCTGGATTTTTGTGTATCAGTTTATGCACGGGAAGCTTCCTAAAAGAGGGAGAGGAGTCCATACCTGTTGCAGTTTTGGGAATTTCGGGGAGGATCCATATCTGTAGTGTAGGATAATATATGCATTAGCTTGGTGTATAAAAAGATAGTAGAAATGGTCTAGGGTTAAAATTAGAAATAGGGGGTTATGTGAGATAACAGGCTTCACCTTCTTGGGAATCTTGAATTTAGCTACTTTAGGAGCCATCCATGATTTCAGAGTGTCTTCTGACAGACTTCCACCTTTCTTCAAGACAACTGCCACTCCAATATCTTCGCCATAGTGGGTATCCGGAATAGCAAAAGATACTGCCTCTGCTACATGGGGGTGATGTGCAATAGTGTTGTCCAGCTCGATAGGGCTAATTTTCTCGCCTCCCTTATTGATAAGCTCCTTGATACGCCCTGTGATAAAAATGTAACCGTCCTTGTCCTTCTTTCCTTGATCACCTGTCCGGAAAAAGCCAGATTTTGTGAATGAGGATTCGTTTGCAGCAGGGTTATTGATGTATCCCTTGGTGACGTTCTCCCCACGAATACAAATCTCACCCTCAGAGCCCTGGGGAACTTCGTTCCCGTCTTGGTCAAGAATTTTAACTTCGACTCCCTGGCCAATACCAACAGTTCCTGGCATCCTCTTTCCTGGGGGAAGTGGGTTGCTTGTCATTTGATGTGCCGCTTCTGTCATTGCATACGCCTCTAGTACTGGAGCATGAAAAGTCTTTTCCAATTCATGGAAAGTCTTTGGGGACAATGGAGAGGAACAGGAGCGAATAAATCGAATTTTTGGCATAGGGTTCGGAAGCGGGGTTTTAAGGAGGATCTGGTGAATGGTAGGCACTGCAGTGTACCACGTAGCGTTATACGTAACGAACTCAGACCAAAATGTCGAGGCTGAGAACTTTTCAGGGACGATGACGGAACCTCCCGACAAAAGGGGTGCGAGGAACGCCGCGAGCAAGCCGTGAACGTGGAATAGAGGCATGACCAGCAACGTTCGGTCTTTTTCTGTCAATTCGTAGGTTGCTTGAATGTTTTCTAGAGTATTTGATCAGCCAGAGCATGAGAATGGCGAATCTACGGGAATTAGACATACTCATTGTCCTTGTAAGATTCCGGTGTGTAAGGGGAACCTAGAGATTGTCAGGATGGTATTTCTCGCGAGGTATCCGTAAATAACTTACAGCTTTTGGTCTCCCAGTGGTACCTGATTTTAATATTAGCATACTTGTACCATGGTGGCAGTTAACGCAAGAAGACACGATCTGGACGGCCCAATAACTCAATTGAAACCGTGCAGATTGCTGCCCTTTGCAGCATGTTGATAGAACTCACCTGAAGTATGAAGCACCAAGGCAACATCATCGGGCTGAGCCTCTTCCATCTTTAAATTACCCTTCCCGGTCAACTTCGCGGTTTCTTTCACGTCCAGAACCACCTCCGTTCCGTTCCAGTAGCACTCGGCAATGGCAGCAGAGTATTTCCTCGCAGCACGAACAGCTGGTCCGTCTTTCGAAAAAGAGCCCTTCGGAACAAGCGTCAATGCTGAACTCAAGTCATCGATGTAGAATTCGAACTCTTCCTGTTTGTATGCAGGGTTCAGAGGAGCCGCAATTGCTCTCTGCCATGAAGCAGCCAGGAAGGAGACAATGAATTCGTAAGAATTGGGCAAGGCAATTGAAACAGCAGCGCCTGGCGATATTCCCAGCTTTGCCAGTTTCGCTTGGAATGACTGGACATCAGAACGTAGGCGCTGATACGAAATTGTTAAAGGCTCAGGTTTGCCGGGAACGATGATGGCAATCGCAGCAGAACCAGCGAATGAATTTGTCAGAGTGGTAGGCATGGCTGGGTGACGGTGTATAGTACCAATGCTAATAGAGGTTAAAAATTAAAAATTTCTAATACAAGATAACCAAGATAGAACAAACCAAAATGTCCATTCAACTAATAATTATAGTAGCGAATGTGTTGATATCAAATTCATGCCGATGACGCAGAATCCCCGGATGTCTCGACCGACAACCTTGGCAATTACCAATGAGG